TAGAGGCATGGCAAAACAAAATATCCAATATGATCACCATATATCTTAACCATCAGGAAATTCTGATGACATTTTACAACCCGACTAATTAACTGGTTAATTGAGAAAGTAAACAGCAAATTCATCTAGAATGAAAATATTCATTAATTCTATCCTTACATCTAATTATTCACTATTACCGTCATTCTGAGTTTTCTTGCCCCATTCAGATTTATGGTGCATGCCACGAAGAGACAGCTCATGAATCCAGACACCCAATAAGCCATGCTTCATATAGTCAGAGATTTAACATGGTAGGAATACTAGCTCTCCGTTTCTACTGAGCTCAGAACAGTCAGTTCATCATCACTGTATCAAATGCCTCTCAAAAAGAATCAGGTCACATTTGACCACTAGGATATTTTAAGCATTAAGCAGAACTAATTTCACAACTTGTGAAAACGTTGTAGCTTGTGGGTCTTCATTAGTTTCTGAACATTAAAAGGTCAGCTTCCTACTGATACTAAGTGTAAATGGACTATAGGTACGTTATTTCTGTGCAACAGCATCAGGTCAACATCAATAACTTTTTAACTCTTCTGTTAAATATAAAAAATGACATGTGCATAGTAGTGTTTAATATCTATCAAGGATTTCCAGGGTGCACGAAGGAGTAGCATCAGGAAATGCAACTAGTACAAAAGTCTTTATAAAGCATTGCAATATAAATAAATAAAAAAAAAACCTGATGACTGTATCAATTTAAATAATTTCTATTAACAAATAGAGATGCAACTTAAATAAAAGGAAGAATTTAAACAACTTCTACTGAATGGTATGATGGTTTTTGCATATCGAATAATTTGGGCAACTGAACTGAATGTGCTTTGAGTATCATTACCAACGCCGTGTCGTAATTCTTTTACCCCTTTTAGGGGTAGGCCTCCAAATGTAGGAGATCTACACTGGTTATGTCTGAGACCAGATAAGACCATTGCCAAGGTTACACCACTAACATTATCATCTGTCCCGCAAACACATGTACCCATAACTCAGTCCAACACACGTTCATGCATGCACACGTACAAAGCCACAACAAGTGAGCGCACTCGCACATCAACATAAGTTAAGGCTTCGGTCTGGAAGTAAAATGTTGACTGCCTCCAAGCTAAACTGCATTCCACTCTTCTTTTTCTGTCTTCTATCTGTCTGAGTCTCTCTTGGCTGATTTTACACCTGGCACAGACGTGGTAGATTTTCTGCATCAAGTTGAAGCCATTTAAAGGTTAACCAGCTGGAAGAAGAGTTGGCTCTGGTTGAATTTTTTAAATTTTAGCTGTAAACAGGCACTTCTGTGCTTTCTCTGAGACCTCTCCTGGAAAACATATTTTGCCTTCCGTGTAGCAAAGAGAAACAGCCGTTGTTCTTTTCCACAAAAGTTTTCAATTGAACAATACAGATAATGACTTTAACTGCATGAGAAAGTATTGTTGAAGTTGTGATTCTTACTGCAGCCTTACTTCATGTTTGGACACAAAAAGGCCACAAAACAAAAGACTAAAATCAATAAACCACATTTTAGTTTAGCAGACATTGTAACTGCTACAACACAGAATTAAATGGCACATTTTGTTATTTGAAAAACTAGAAGCATTGGACACAAACTCAAGTGTGATATTTTCAACAAAGCATCACCGTACTGGAATAAATGCGATGGAACAGCACAAAGCTGACATCACTGTCGGTTCGCTGTCACAATGGCTGGTTAACTGAGAAACCTAATCATTGACAATATTTTTGCTTTGTATGGCTGGTGGTGACACTTTTCTTAGTATGACTTCAGATGTAGATTAACGAATATCTAATTAGCCTGAGTCATGTAACAATGTGAGTGCAGAGACAGAAACGCAACACCTACTTATTAAACTTTTTTGCTTTAAACTTTAATTTGGAAGTTAAGAATTGATGGAAGCAGCTTAACCTAAAGATGAGACAAAGTGCTGCACACAGCTAAATACTAGCTACAAACAAGACAGGTGCAAACATGCGTACAATACACAACTACATGGATTATTACTAAGTGACAAAACCCACTGATTAGTGGTCACTAAAGTGGCAAAGCATATTTAAAAATTAAATCAATGAAAGCTAAAAAAAAAAAAAAAACAGATGTCAAAGGAAGCAATTTCCATTTAATTTATGGACACTGTCTTCTTTGCACATCTGGTTTTCATCTGTCAAGAACACACCTTTAGTCAGACCATTACAAACAGAACATTTAACCCAACTGCTTGAATAGAAACATTTGATTGTTTTATATGCTGACCCCTTAAAAACTGGCAATACAGGCAACTCTGAAGGTTGAAATTAACTCACAATTTTGATAAAAATTTAAGTTAGTCCTGTGTGGGAGGCCTTTTTAAAGATTTTATAACTACATTAGAATTCTGCAGGTGTTGGTGTACGGTACATGCTGGGCTGTGGTTTAACTTCAGATAGCACTGAGCAATATTTCTGGTGCTATTTTAAACTATGTGGATGAGCAAAAATACTTTCGGTTTTGTAGCCATTTCAAAAGGTAAGACCCTCATTTTTCTTTCATCTTCCGGATGCTGCCCCTCAACCATTTAACTGGGTCAGAAGAACATAGTAAATTATTCCCACACTGTAAAGTGCAAAAGTTAAACTAACTATGCAGATGGTGTCAGGTCAGCTGTCCAGTCTTGTCATTACTGCACTTCAATATGTACTGATAGAGGCTACATTTGTTGAGGACTGTTGAATGTTCACTGAGAACAAAACAAATCAGAAAGAATCATATTTTAGTGTCACTTTTGTTGTCTTATCTGCATTAAAAACATAGTATCTCCTAAAAATGACCTCCACCACAGACTCTGATGGAGCAAAATGAACTGTAATGTGGCTGCAGTAGCTTTGTGAATGTCTCTTAACGTCACTGCACAATACTAAGGCCTCAAATAGGAAGAGGAGAGACAAAAAAAGCTGTGAGAATCTCACAGGAAACTGGGGTCAAACAGTTACAGCCTTTTTTTTCCGAGAAGTAAAGCTGTGAAATGAGTCGCCCCTGTGAAAGAGCATAATCGGCCTGGTTTAATAGACATTATTTTTTCTTAGTGAATTGTTACAGTTTCCAAGAGCTGACAGACAGCTGACTGTGTGGACTTCTCAGCAACAATACACAGGAGAGACTGTTGCACTGTTAGCAGCCCTTGTACTTTCAGTGCACTGCCATAAATTCATTAAATTGGGTTCTTGTAAGGCATGTCTTCAAGCACAATACCTTCTCAGTTCATGCAAAAGTTTGTGTTACACATGAGTGGCCAAACAAGCTAACGCTGTGTACCTCGGTATGGCAACTAACCTAGTTAGCCGAGAGTGTTAACAGCACTAGCAAACAGGTTAACGGAGCCTTTTCCAAGAGTGTGGGCTAATGTTATTGTTAAACTGCTTTAAAAGTCTCGGTCCTGACACACAGGATACAAAACAATAGAGTTTAGGTTCGCAAATTAGCTAAAATTAGCTCACCATGTCTTCTCACAGCTGACTAGCTAACTTAACATTAGCATCAACAGACCAGCAGCAGAAGATTAGCTAGCTTATCGCTAGTTAGCTGCGGTTAGCTAGCTGTCGCCCAGGGCGTCCAACGCGTAAATTAACGACCTGTTAATGTTGATCAACACAAACCTTGTCCATCAGTTTCCAACATTTCTCCACCGTCTTTTTGTCCACGGCCCCGGGCTGGTGATGGGAGTGGAGGTGGTGATGGTGTGGCTGGAAGGCATCCTTCATCATTCCGATGAGCCCCCCGCCTTTCTTCAGGTTCCCTGCCATGTTCGGGCTCGGCTAGGGGCGGCCAGAGCGGCAGACAGGCGAGGCAGGGCAGGGGTCAGGGGGACCGAACCGCCGCCTGGACTTAGCAGGACCGGGCGGTGGTGATCCGGTGCCCCCCAGCGAGGACAGCGCCCGAGTGGCGGATCCGAGCCAGGGTCCGACGGGGGGTAGACGGAAGGAGGGAGGGGGGGGCGGGGGACTACCGGATAAAGGCTCCCATCAGTAAACCTAACATCAGTTTTCCAGACAAATGTCCCTATTGTGGATAAAACGAGCCCAACTCACACCCTGCGCAGGTCGCTGTGTGCTGCAGCTAGCTGCGCTGCTCCCCGTCTCTCTCTGCAGGGACCCACGCAGGCTAATTAGCGGAGCAGCAGACCTGTCTCTGCTCGCCCTCAGCTGGAGGACAAAGGCACCGTTTCTCTGGCCAGACGCCTTGTGGACTCGAGTGTCCTCTCCTCTTGACAACCCCCGACGTCGTTCTTCTTCTTTTTTTGTCAGCAGCGGCGGCTCTTGTCGGCTGTGCTGTCTTGACGGGAAGTTCAGCGGCTGTGTGACAGTGTCAGCGCAGCTCTGCGGGCTGACGACAGGCGGCTACTCACCGACGAGACCGAGTCGCACCGAAACCTGCGAAAGCTTCACGGTTACACACGGGAACGGGGCTGAATAAATAATTGTGGGAATTAAACATTGCCCAGTATTTGCCTGTTTCCCCCGTGACGTGTATGTGCGGCCCTTTCCTTTCCTGTACGTCCCCTTCCGTTCACCCTCCTCGCAAACCCGAACTCCACGCCTTCTCGGGGCGCGTTCACGAGCCATGAATGTGCGCGCCTCGGCCTTTTGCAGCATTCATAAAACGTCGAAGAGATGCTGAATGCAGCCCTGGATTCTCGCTGCGCGGACCCTGGTCGCCCCTGACAACAAAGGACGCTCTGAGATGTCCCACTAAACACAAGGGTCCAATGACATGGCCTGTGTGCGTGAGCCGTGCACACTACAGTGCAGTTGTGATTGGCTGCTAGTAAAGTCAGTCAGCTATCAATCCAGCTGGACAGTCGGTGCCATGGCAACTCACTCAGCAACAAGTGCCCAGCAACAAAGACTCATCCCTATATAGTTAGTGTAGGCCCCCAGTGTGTGTTATAGTCTCAGCCTCACAGCAGCCAAACATGCCCCCAAAGAAAAAGACTAAAAAGAGCCCAAAGAAGAAAACTACAGAAAAATGTAACTTTGCACATGAGACAACTTTATATGTGAGCTATTTTGATGTCAAATTGTGCATTTCCTAAAAGCATCTTTGTCTTGTTGCAGGTGAAAATGACTTGGAAGAAAAGTACAGGCGCAGTCTTCTGGATATAGCCATTCTGCAGGATCACATTGGTGAGCTTTTAAGTTCAGTGCTCTCATGAGTAATGCAGGATCTGCTTTAATTTATAATTAGGACAAACTACTGTATTACCTATTACTTACAGGGTCAAACTGAAGCTGGCTCTTATTAAAGTTAAAAGTGCACAAGTGTTCTAAGGCTGTAGCCTTTTTTAAAATCATTAAGTCATTACTCATTTAATCCATTAAAAGGTAGAAAACAGTTAAAAAAGAAAGAAAGAAAGAAAGATGCCTGAGGTAACATCTTAAAACTGCTTATTATATTCAACAAGAGTCCACAATGAGGCATAATATCTCCTTTGAGAAACCCAAATCAGCACACCTTGGCTTTTTTTTTTATATAAGCCTTTGCGGCTATTTCATTTTCAAAATAGTAGTTGGTGGTAATTTGCTTTTGATCGACTAATTAAATCGCTGACTACTTGTCATTTTCCATATCTTTAAACTGTCTGTCTGAATGTGCCATGAAAACAGTAATTATTACCGACACAAATAAACCATATTTACTCAGTTTAGTGGCAGACCTGTTGGTATTCTTCTTCAAACTTTCCATTTGTAATCTAAATTAATATGACTACGGAATTGTCTGTGTAGACTCTTATTCATTCAGTTCATGGTAACTCTAGGAGCTTCAGTACAAGGTAACTGGACTTCTCTTTTTGGTTTTGGAAACACTGTTAGAGGCTTTTTCAGGTCTATCTGTCTAATAAGGGGCCCCGTTCTATGTATAGTGACCTCTACATGACCCCACTTATCAGGTATTTATAATGCCGTCTTGAGATCTTTCCTGCAACAATGTTTTACCACCATTAGCATATGAATCATCCCTCACCTGGCAGTTTCAACATTCACACCTTAATGCACTTGAGTCTTGTGTTGTTAATGGGCCATTTTGGTGATTTTCAGACTGACATTATATAATCATGGACTCTCCATTAGTCAGTTAGAGCTGAAAGAGATGAGAGCTGAAATATGATTAAGAACCAAAAAAAAAAAGAAAACAGTCTAGTTGCCTTCTACTGAAGCTCTTATGGTGATTATGTTGTCATTACTTGCTTTTCATATTAGGGTTTTACCTGCAGAGAACACCATTAGGTCATATGTTGCTGATTAAAGTAGTGAGAAGTGCAGTAAATTGATGCTTTTCATCCACCACATTTCTGAAACAAACATACTTTTTGACAGCCACGGTCATCAGTTACATTGCTGAATGAGACTTTAAATGCAGCACATGCTGTGTGATCAATTAAATGCATTGTTATAGGTCTCACTATAGCTTCACCTCTCTCAGCTACAACAATAAAATGCAGCTTTCACATATAAAACAGTCATGTTTTGGCATTAGTCCTCTAACTTTAACTGCAGAACTTAGAATGAAGTATTTTCACGTTGTTGAAGTTTTGCTTTTCCTGAAAGTAAAGTAGCCAAATGTTCACACACCAGTGGAAGCTCGACAAGCACAATCTGTTCCAGTTACAACAGTAAATCATCGGTCATATGTTAAAGACTAACTGAACTTGAGCAGGTTTTATGAATAACAACGGACTGTAATTGAGTTATTGCCACTCCTGCTTAAGAACAACAATCTCCCCCAGGTCTGTGCATTCATGCATGCATGTGCTCCTGTGATTAATCGCAGCCTTACAGTGTGAGTCGGCAAGAAAGGTCCTGTCTGATAGAAGCGACCTGAGGAGACGTGTGAGAGACATGGAACAGAAGCTGCAGCACGAGAGACAAGACCACAGGGACGTCAGCTCCGGTACGTACAGACGGGGCATGAATCCGAAATGAGTGTCTCTTTTATTAACCTGAGCAAAGTGTGAATCCCCTCAGGAGTGAGGACAAGGGGCATGTTTGCCAAGGTTAGGGTAATTTTTGAGGAACAAAAACTCTAATTAGCTGAGTGCTTAAGCTGATTGCTGTACTAGACTTACAAAGCGAATCAGCAATGAAGTCTGACATAGTTGACACGATTGCCGCCGCAGATTTCAGTCGCCAGTACAAAACCATGCAGACGGAGCTGACCCACAAGGTGAAGAGGCTGGAGCAGGAGGCGAGCCGGCTGAAGGAACAACTTGGTGTGAATAAATCTGAATTTTCACTCTATCCTTACATGAATAAAGATGTAGAACAGCCAATTAGAAGCGGTGACCTGCCTTGTGTGTGCTTGTCCAGTCTTGTGTCAGGAAGAACTGAGCAAAGAGAAAAGGCAGCGTGAGCAAGTGGAACAGGAGAAGGACGCCATCATTGGAGACCTCCAACGCAAACTGGACAGCCTGGAAACAGATTATGAGAAGATCCTGATTGTGAGTTGCAACATAAGACAATTCAAATGAAAGATAATACAAACTGATTCCTGTGGGTTTAATCAGACATCTCTGAGGCCTGGTCAGATATGTGGCAACCCAGTCAGGAAAAGCATTGTCCTCATCCCTCATCCATTTTTCTGTGGTGACCTAATGTGGTTTGGTATTTCTTCTTGTCTGTGCACTTAGATCAAACCTCCTGTGAACCTGATCTCTGTTTTTGTTCTGCAGAAGTGATGGGCAGGGATTAACACTCCTACATAATGGTCGGGCCTGTGCCTGGGTGTGTTTTACGCCGAAATCATGAAAGTGTGAAAGACTAGCGCAGCACAGCCAACCTTCAGTGAGCTCCTCGCCCTTAGCGACAGTCAGGCTTGTAACTACTCGATGTCCTTATTCTGAGCAGATAACTTGGTCTGAAATGACAGAAGAATCAGAGTTGTCATGTGTAGACTTTTTATGTTTTTATACCATCTTTAAATTTTGGGGATTTTTTTTTTTTTTAAAGCTACCACTTAGAGTCAGAAATACTATAATTACATATGTGTGTGCTTTAAGGCCTCAGCAGGGGGTTAACAGGTTGACTCCACTTAATCCAAAGTATGTGTCAAACACAAAGATAGCTACATATTATACTTGGCACGATAAACACAGGTTCAGTGTTGTAATCAGCTTTCCCTCTGTTCAAATACTCACAGGAAGGTGATTTTTTTTTTTCAGCCTGGATTTTAGTGCCATAGTTCTGTGCAATTAACCTTCAGGTTAAAGACATTACACACACCACCATCACTTACAGACAGCATGCTGAGAGTTTCCTGAGCCTTTAACCAACTGCCAAAAGCAGGTAGTTGGACACCAGTGCAAAGGTGAAAATTAAAAGTTAGTATTGTAATAATTTGTCAGAACTGTCGAGCAGTGCAGAGCCACGGAACACCGAAATGATCTGGCCAGCACAAATGAAAAATCAGTAAAAATGAGAAGCCAGAGGGGAAACGTGTCATGATTATTCATGAGTTCTCAGTAAATGCTGGACAAAATCTAAAACAATTTTTAAAAATTACAGGTTGCATTACTTAAAAGTAAGATGTATGCCAGTGTATGAGCACTGTGTGACAAATGTGAGACTCCATCTGGCACCATTACAACTACATTTGGACACGACCCAACCTCCACTCATTCTGCACCTCTGTGTTGGATTTCTACTTAAAAGCAGTTGATAAGCGATGGAAACCTGACTCACTTGTGACCGATCTGGCAACTACAAGTGACACTGCTCTCAATCTGGAAGTGGGAAATAGCTGGTGTGTGGGTACTGTATTGGCTCCAACAGTGTATTTTGTAAATATGGAAGTCTGATGCTGTGCCTTCATTTGAGATGCGGCTGAAAGAGGTGGCCAAGTGTTCATTTGGAGAAGCTAAGATTCAAGATTGCAGGACGGAGGAGAGTGTTTGATAAGGCACAGAGACCAGTGTTGGCATATTGAAAGGGAAGATGTGGGATGAATGATTGACAATATCAATCCTGTATCAGTGGCAGCTGATGTTTATTGATTGTTTTATGCACTTTTCACCCCTGTTGTTTCACTCTCCTGGTTTTTGCTCGTTTCCCTGCATGAATCTTGTTTTTTAGCGACCTCATCTACTGATGTACAAAATATTCTGCCAAGTTGTTATAGTGGCATGCTCTTTTATGCCGCTATATTGAGAGAAAGTGGAACCTAACCATACACGTGTCAATAGAAAGCTTCTAAAAACAAAACAAGAAACAATGTAGATGACGCAAAATTAAGGAAAGGAAGGTCTTCCATTGTCGAGGGACCACATTGTCTATTGTAGAGCTGTTTCAAGCAGTTTCAAGTTTATATACCCACAATAGTAACAGACAATGCTAAGCTATAAGGTGCAGATAATTACTTAAAAGCAGGACAATACGACTTGAGAACAGTAAGTAGAATTTTCCATTAAGATGTAATAGATGTGGAATGGGGTCATTGTTGACCTTTTAAAGGTGCAGCCCGATCGGCAGCGAATGCAAATTTTCAGTGCTCAGATCTTCAAAGGTAAGTGGTCAAGCCCGGAGCCCTGTTAGAGGGATCAGCCTGCGATTGTAGAGATAGCATTTTAATATGTAATTAACATTATTTCTCTCTTCCCCAGTATGACACAGAATCTAATTAAGCCTCCTCTCCATCAGCTCACTCCTGAAACTCATCAGAGATAAAAGTGGTTAAGAAGTAGAAGGGGAGGAGGGATATCAGGTTAGACAACTGGGTGATTTAAAAGGAAAATCTTAGCTTGCATTTTAATTTTACCGATGTTTTCCCGCAGGAGACTCTAGACAGCCTGACATCCCAGCTGTCTGTGGCACGGCAGGGATGGGAGGACAAGAGCACAGCGCTTCATCAAAATTACAAGGAGCTACTCTCTGAATTTGGCCTGAATGCACTAGACATTTGAAAAACAGTTTTTTTTTTCTTTCTCAGTGAGATGCACTTGTTTAAAGTTGTTTTTACAACTTGGTTCTACTGTGTCAGACTGCTGCTTTGGGGTTTTGCCTCAACTGAAAATGAACGCTGCAGCAGCATCGATTTGCAGCTCACAGTTTATTATGCCTAACACATGGACGGATGGTGTTATCATATATTTTACCATCAGGGAACAAAATCAGCGTCGTTATCAATGCATATATATTCAGTAGCTTCCCATGTAGTGTCTGTAATGTCATGTAATGCCCACTAGATGTAGCAAATGACTGTTTATGGTTGGGGAGATGCTGGCCAGAATACACAATGATACGCAATAGACACCTCTACTGTGTGTATTCTCTGTTTCATGTGTTTTAGTAGATAGCGTTTTTGTTATTTTTGTGACACAATATTTTAAAGTTTAATAAAGGCATGTGAGGATTACACTAATGTGGTATGAAATTTATAAAACAAGGTAGAATACTGTCTGTCAGCTGGTATGCGTGTTAGCAAAATGTAGATGCAGTTTTCTCTGGCTGTGTTTTGGAGGCCAAATAAGCCAAAAGACAAGAAAGCAGAAGGTAAAAGCGGCCACAGATAAATATAAAAAGTAATCTAAAAGTAATGTTCAATATGAAACAGACTAACAATAGAAAATAACAAGAGAAAGGCAAAATAACAGTTAATGATGCAGGAAATATGATTTAGCTGCCCAGCATCAATAAAACCTGACTTCCCCCGCGGGGAGCAAGATAAACAGATTTTACTTCCAAGCCTGTCATTTGTGCATCTTTTTCATGGCCTGGTGCTATGTTTTTTTTTTTTAGCCTCTCATCTGTGGGGTAATGAATCATTTACTCAGGGATTAAGATAATTCAGTGCTCTAACGACCAATTAACACAGGAACTCAAGAGGCCTTTATCTGAAAACCAATATTTTCTCCTCAAACCACACCAAGTTGTTGCCTTCAGAGGGTATGTGTTTCTGTTTGTTTAGAGTTTAATGGGCTTGACTGCAGCCACTTAAATTGAGATAAGCACAGGGGGGAAACAGAAAAATGATTCACTAGCAGTGTGCCTTATAGTAAAAATTTGGAAAAGTTACTATAAATATAGCATATGGTGGTCAGCGATGGATAAACCGAGAACCCAAAGGTCCAGTGGGTGGGAATTTTAGGGGATCTACTGGTTGAAATGAAATCTAATATTCACAGTTATGTTTTCATTAGTGTATAATCACCTGAAAATAAGAATCATTGTGGTTTTATTACCTTCCAATGAGCCCTTTGAGGACTTTCTGCAAATGGAGTGGATTCTCATTGTTGGAGCATGTTAATGTTCTACCACCATGTAGCCCAGATTGGACAAAGCAAACACTGACTATGGAGAAGACCTTCCGTGTTTTTAGCATTTCTAGGCAGCACCATAAGTTCTTGGAATATGAGGATGAGGTGGGGTGTAGCCAGCTGGATGCCAGATGCCACTAAATTGTGCATAATGATTATTTTAGGTAAAAGTATCGGTACAGAAGAACGTAAAAAGATAGTTTAAGTCAAATTTACTTTAAGTATCAAAAGGAAAAGAATTGGTGACATCTCCCTATGAAATATAATGAAGTTGAAGTATAAAATAGTGCTAAACAGTACATGAAATTGAACTTTAGCACAATACTAGCTAGACATATCCTTAAGGTGCGCATCTACACCGTTTCCCTCTAGATTTCTAGCAGGCAGATAAAAAAACAAGACGCTGCTTCATCTACAGTGAACATGATTAATGAACAGATTCTAATTTGAACTCTGTCATCGCAGCTCACAGACGGATGAAGCTCTTTAAAAGGTGCAGTCATTATGTAAAGTGACTGATGTGTGCTTCAGTCTTTGGAACTTTCATCCAAGGTCAGCACAGACCAACAATGCAGCCAACATTCAACAACACTGAATATTGTTACTGTTCCATCTGTAAAAAAAAACAAAAAGAAAACCGATATGGCTTTCTTATCAAGTATCCGGTAGACTGTTTTCCACGATAAAAAGCTGGCTGCTTTCGTTTTCTTGGTGAAAAATTGACAAAGAGTGCTGGCTGTGATGCTTCCACTGGAATTTAACTTGGCCGTCTGTCTAGCTTTTGGGTAATGATGCAACAAAACGGCCTCCAGCGGATGAATCAAGATGCCAACACTGCCATTGTTCATAGAGGCGTATATACATGGAGGCACTTACTCTAAATCACCTGCCCACACACACAACCAGGTAATCAATGCTTCCTTATCTGTAAAGCCATTGATAAAGGCAGGAATGAAAAGTGAGGGAACGAAAGGCAATGTAAATGAAGCTCCATTTTATTTCTCTGAAAGACAAACAATGTCAAGATGTTTTGGTCAATATGTTCAACAACCATCAGTGAACAAAAGGCTGTATAACAGCCCTGACAGCATCTCACCTTGTAGAGAATTCTTGCACTCTGAATACCTTTTCTTTGAGCACACAACAACAACAACAACAAGCTTTTTTTTTTTCTTTTTCTTTTTTGCAATTAAGTGCCAGTAAATCAATAGGAAAGCTCTCACTTAAAATATGCACCAGTCTTCCTGTGAATTCCGTAGTTTTCTCTGCTGGTCTGTTTTGTCTTACAATTGGCGTAGTCAGATCCAGTGCTCATTAGTGGCTGTTATGAGGTGGATGTACACACTGCATGATGTTAACCTTGAGAAATGTGCTGTCAGAGAAGACAAAGGAAGTATTTCACAAAGGGATGCAATCTTGGCAGGACAAATGCGATGAATAGATTCAACAACTGCCAATAGAAAAGCAATAAAAAAAATCACACTGACTGCAGGGTGACTTATAGACCCACAATGTTTGAAAAATGTCTAAATATCTCAGGTCTCATGTTTTGGTTTCCCAGAACTGGACACAGAGCTTGAGAAGTTCAAAGACATAAATGTTATATCAGCAACAAATAATAATAATAATAATAATAAAAGCACATGGAATGAGCAGATTTGAAAGGAAAAAAAACACCATCACTCCACAAGTATGAGATGTGAGCTGCTGGTGTGGCAAAATGCATCAAACTCACTACACTATGATCCCGAAATCCTTGCAAAAAATAATAATGAACTACAAGGAAATTGGTATTGCTGTGTGCTACAACTGGTTAAGCTCGAGGAGTGAAGTAGATTTTCACACACCTCTGCAGGCACTCAATGCTCATCATGGGCTCCATAAATCCAACAGCAGCTAGGCAGTGGTGGGTAGAGATGCACTTAATTTATGGACCTGGAGCACCAGAGGCAGAAGGAGAAGCATGAGCACGATGAAATAAACTTGACACAGGAGTGACTTACAGGTGGCGGTGAGTGTTTGTGAGTCACGCTTTAAGACTTACGCAGACGAGTGTGTGTGTGTGTGTCTGTGTGTGTGTTTTCTGTGGATATGCACTGTGACATGACGCTTGGTGACGTACTGGAAAAAAAAATGTCATCTGTAATGCTGCAGTGGTACAATTGTGAGACAGGCACTCAGAGAGGAGAGAGAGAGAGAGAGAGAGAGATGCAGCGTGAATTAAACTGTAAATCAGACGCCTGGTGTTGTGGGGTGTTCACTCACTATCCTGAGGAGACAGAAATATCCACAGAAAATCACAGTGATAGATGGACTACGGGTGAGCGGATGCTTATATAGCACATGAGTGAGTTGTTAAACTCATTAGCCTCCCGTAGACTTCCTGCCCACACAAATTCTCAGCTGTTCAAAGGATTCGCAAGTGTGCAGACGCTAATTCAGTTTATGGAAGAGAAACAAGAGGTAGACGCATCGGATCCTTCTGGTTCACTCAACACTTCTGTTTACTCATGCAGGAACCCATACATCCTCATACTGCTTCCCCGCATGCGTACATGTCACAACAAAAACAGGTGCGCCGTCTGAATATCTCTCCCAGTCGAATAATAAAAAACTTGAAATAACAAAGTGCACTCAGAAGCTATTTAGCATGACAGATCTAAACAGCTGAGAAGGTCAAATACATCCAAGTAAAGAAGAGACAAAACCAGAGAAGCCCACAGAACGGAGGTTGTATTAAGAAATGTATTTATAATGGAATAAAAATGTCAACATAGGAAAATAAAGCATATAAAATATAGCAGCCAAACCCTGCCATCCCTCTCAGTGGTCTCCCAGAGAAGGTCGCCCAGTGTTTCTGTGGGATTTGTTTTAATTCTTACTCTACTGCTCTTCATGCCTTCAAGGTAATTGGCAATCTCATTCCAACTACGCTTGATTTAGCACCCCTGTAAATGTTTTCAGTGTTTAATAGGTTAGCATTGAGAGCAGCGAGCGCCTTCAAACTCTCATGAGTTTCTTAGTGACATTTGGCAAATGGATAGAAACTTCTTTTTATAAAACAGTAATGAAATGTGGGTCTTTTTTTCTGTTGCTATTTGCTAGGCAATTTGACTTTAACAAGTTTTTATATAAAGAAATATAGTTTACATTAATTGCCTGTTTTTATGCTCACTACGTGTGAATGTGTTCGTACTGTGTGTGTGATACATGTTTCCATATAAACACATATAACTGTGCACCTTGTTGTTCTATCAACATAATCAACACCAAATGAGTCACTCTCTTAAAAACCAAACTGTGGACCGCTACTGGGAACCCTGTCGATCACACTGTATTTACACATCTTCCATGGATCGACAATACTAAAGGATTAGATGCACTGGCATGATTGAAAAACATAAAGGAGGTTTGGGTAATGTTACTGTGCATATGAAATGGTAAAACAAACAACAGAATGATTTAACAGCAAGTGACAGTGTGACCACACACACGAGCGTGTCGAAACAAAAAAATTCTGTGTTATTTCTTCTCGATTATACGTAAACACATTTAAACATCGATCAACATGACGGACGTCTCCTCGAAACAATCGCCCATTGTGAAAAGAGCAAATGCAGGGAATTTCGAACCATGACAACCTGCGGGGTGAGAAATGATGAAGACAGAAAGTGAAGTTGGCTAATAAAAGTACAAGAGAGACTGCAGCGAGACCTTGGAGCTGTGTTGAGATGGTGGCCTAGTTCTGAGGGACGGTGATTGACAGAACCTGATGGGCAGATTTAAAATGATGGACACATCAGAGATAAGCGAAAAGCAGTGTAGAGAAGTGGGTGACCGCTGATTCTCACTGTGCAACAGTCAGGCTATCATACAGTAACACCAGCAGGAAAACATA